TGGGAATGAGGGCAGGGGTAGTGGGTCTCAAGCCCACAGGACTGGTCAATCTGTTAAGGATTTCAGGTTTTCCTTGGGGTAAAATGAAGATTAGAAAATTTTGAGCCGAAGAGACATGAATTGACTTTACTAGGATCACTTTGACTGAAAGGGATTGGAACCAAGATAATCCAGGTGAGAGGATGCTGGCTCAGACCAGCTGCTGGCAGTGGAAGGTATGGGGGTCTTGATATATTTTCAAGGTGGACCTGAGATGATCAGATGTATTAGTTTATTATCACTCTTGTAACAAACTACCACAAATTTAGTGATAATTTATTACCTTACAGTGCTGTGGGTTAGAATTCCATCATGGGGTCTCACTGGGTTAAAATCAAGGGGTTGGCAGGGCTGTGCTTCTTTCTAGACACTCTGGGAGAGAATCCATTTCCTTCTAGAGCTTCTGGAGGCCACCCACCTCATTCTTTGGCTCATGGCCCCCTCCCTCCATCTTCAAAGCCAACAACGTTGCACCTTCTTCCATTGTCATATCTCCTTTTGACTATGGCTGGGAAAGTTTCTTTGATTTTCAGACTCTTATGATTAGCTTTAACCCACCAAACTAATCTCACTTCCCAAGTGCCTTAATTTAATCACACCCACAGTCCTTTTTTCTCAGTCTAAGTACATATTCACAAATCCCTGGGATTAGGACATGCACATCTTTGGAGGCTGTTATTCTGCCTAGACACCATTGAAGGATCAGATGTGGGATTTGAGATAAAGAAAAATCAATAACTTCAAAAATGTTGGTCTAAGCAGAGGGAAGGAAGGGAGTAACTGAGATAAGAGGACCAGGTTAGTGGCTTTGGGGCAAATATCAGGAGCTCAGTCTCAGGCACGTAGAACTTGAAATGCCTGTTAAATATCCAAGTTGGAGGTGACGAGTAGGTAGTTGAATACATGAGACTGACGTTCAGGGGAGCAGATTGACAGGGCTTATAAAGAGGGGTCCTCCACATAGGGATGGCATTAAAGCCATGAGATGGGACGAGACCACTCAGGCCCTATGGAGAGAAGAGGGAAGACCTCCAGAGACTAAGTTTTGGGAAATCTCCCGATCTCTGCAAACTGCTAAAATTGTGCATTTGAGAGTTTGGCAGTTGTGAAGAACACATTTATATTAAATTGAACATGGAGGAAAATGCGGAAGAGGAGTATTGAAGAGCAAAACCAACGAAGTTACTCAGGACAGATTTCACCATCTTGTATCATTTAGTCCCTTGCAGTCTTCCTCCGTCCTTGTCTGGGAACTGCATTTGCATGTCTAGAAGTAGTGGACCACAGCCAAATGTGTGAGTGGCTAAGACACAGCTCATCTTATATCAAATTCTGATTCTTTCTTGGTGAGGTTGTTTCATGTTATATTAGATACATATTATTTTCATAAATACTCATTCAAGAGTTGTAATAAAGTCCCTTCACGGGGTGGTCTTGGGCAGATTATGTAATGTACAGTCTCATGTAGGACAGAGTAAATGCCCATCTTTCAGATTTAAAATTCTGCAGTGCAATGTAGTTTACACTGATGGCAGGACAGTTTCTATTAAATTTTATTTTGAGTGACATGTAACCTACTGTATTACTTGTCTTCCCTTATTTAGGTTGGTACTGCTAAATTTGCCAAAGGCCAGGACGTGGGTCTCTTGTATGTATTTAATTGCACTTGGGAGGAAGCGATTGCTGTGGTTCATGCCAGCTGCAGGATAAGTGAGGAGAGGTGTGTGTATCGTGGGAGGCGGTGGGCTCAGAACTCGGCCGCTCCCCACTCCCAAGTCTGGAGCTCAGGCTGTACAGCAGTGAAAAGGTCCAGAGAGAAGTGAAAATGGGCGTCACCAGCTTCATAGCTTCGGACACATTGGATTCAGGGTAGAGCTCTTTGTGGACTCAACCATTTCAAGTATTTCTGTCAAACAAGCCTAACCGGTTTCTAATGTGACAGGTAGGAGAGCAGGTTAGAGGAGCAGAGGATGGCCTCACCAGGTAAGCATGCTGACCATAGTGTGACGAGTGATGTGGGTACTAAATCCCTGGAGAAAAGAGGGCTTTGGGGTCTCAGGCTGGCCTTTGACCCCTGACCCTTGAGGGGAATCTGAAGACATCATTCTGTTGCAGGAACTGATGGTGACCCTGAATCATGGAGGAAAAATTACATTTTGAGTATCCTGGTGTAGCAGTTAGAAGCTTGGTTACCTGTTGCTGGAACTTGGCAGCTCACAGCTGTGACCATACAGTCTCTCCCGTGACTCTTTGGTTTGACTGAGCCCCTGTGGCTGCTCCTTCTGCTGGGGGTCCTGTTGGCTGGGTCTGTGATCATCTGGAAGCTTCAGCGGGCTGGAGCGTCTTCCACGGCTCACCCGCATGGTTGGCTGTCTGCTCTTTCTGCCAGTGGACGCCAAGCTTTGGTCTCTAACCAGTGACCCCTCCCCGTGGCTTGGGCACCTCACAGAATGACAGCTGGTTCCCAGGGGAAGAGTTTCAAGCACGTGAATGCCTTGGAAATAGTTCAGCATCACTTCACGGCATTCTTGTGGTCGTAGAGAGTCACAGGGACAGCTCAGACTCAAGGGGAGAGGAAATAGACCCAACCTCTGCAGGGGAGCAGTGGCAAAGAATCTGTAATCATCGTTAGATCACCACGACGGAGAAGTGGTTGATGTGTCTTACACGTGAAGCGGCTAGTTGAGCTTTAAATCTCCAGGAAAATGACTATTCAGAATACATGACTATTCCCCAATGGTTTAAAATGGTCAATACTTTATAAGTAAGACTTGATTATGAAATAATTTAATTACTCTAATTATAAGATTATTACACTTGTAGGGAGCATTGTAGAATTAAGAGAAGCATTTCAAGGACACATATTTGGTAAAAATAATAGCTGTGCTTTTTTTTAAAAGACATAAAACAATTCAGAAATAGTACCAAAGGCAATCATTGGTCATAATAATAGCAATTTAATTCACATGCACGATGAGATCCCTTGGAAGGGATTCTAGGCAGAACAAAAGAAAAATCGAACATAAAACTAAATGTTAACTTCTCTTAAGCAGTAGGATTTTCTGATTCTTGGAGGCCTCCTCAGAGTCACCTTGCCCTGCAATCTCAAGCTGTTGTGTTTCTTGGAGTTAGTCTGTGGATCTGGTCTCACCCAGAGAGGCGGTGAAGAACGGGGATATTAATCCATGTTACACTTATGTTATCACAACATTATAATTCTATTATAATTTGAACCAATGAATTTTGCAGAGCTCTACCTGCACAGAGCTAAAACGTCCTTCCCCACCCCCTCCCCCCCGCCCCCGCCCCGGTTGTTAGTTTCCCCCTCTTTGGCCTATTTGTGTGTGTTTTTAGAAGTTCTATCCCACTCCTTGACTTACCCCCACAGTATCCTGATGTGTGTATACAGTGCCTAGTTTATGAATTTAAGCCCCGAAAAGGCCTCAGCGAGTGTTTCTTAGGGATTGACTGTTTCCATGGAGCCTGGCTTGGCCAATGGAGAAGCTTTTTTATTACTCGTGACTAGGAGCTGGCCCTTCCAGCCCCCTCACTGTAAAGCAGTGGTCCCAGTAAATGGGGTGCTGTAGAAACAGTGATCTGAGCAACAAAATGTCATGAACTATATTTTATTATTTGTTCTTTTTCACTTGAGTTTTTGTCTTCTTAGTTTTCACTTGGTTACTGTGAAAAGGGGCCTCTTTCCAGCAATACTGATAGGATTTTTAAAAAACCATCAGTGATTGGAAGACACCTAGGGAATATTACTGGTGTAAATTTTACCCTTTGTTAGGCACTTACTCTTCCTCATTTAAATTAAATGTTGTATTTTATTGCCTCTTGAAGCTGACATGTTAGGCTCAAGACCCAGGAATCTCAAGAAATATGCTTACAATTTCTGGTTTAATTAAACAAACGAAAGACCTCATTAACAAAAGCTAGCCATAGCCTCAGTTGGAAAAAATAATAATAATAAATTCACTCATTCGATTTTGCAAATTGGCACAAGCAAATATAAAATAAAGGGTTTTTTTTAATATTCTCCTTTAAACTGGAAAATTCCTTAATTAAAAAAAAAAAAGTAAATAATAGACTTTCTTATAGCCAGTGTCGGGGAACACTCACCAGACCCTCACAGTTTTCCCTTTTATAGGGTCTGGCGTCTCTTTTGTAGTGGGATTAGTGACCACGTGATTGAGCCTCACAATCACAACATCCCCTGTTGCTTTCTGTTCACTGTCAGTCACGATGCAGGGACGTGTGACAGAGGTCAGGCAGAGAGCTCCAGGTCCAGTGGAATCGTTTTCCAAATGATTAAAGCAGCCAGCTAGGCTTTAAGAGCTAGCCTATACTCAGCCATAATGAAATAATGCCTTTTGCAGCAACTTGGATGGACCTGGAGAATGTCATTCTAAGTGAAGTGAGTCAGAAAGAGAAAGAAAAATACCATATGATACCGCTTATATGTAGAATCTAAAAAAAAACAGAAAACAGACAAACTTATTTACAAAGCAGAAACAGATTCACAGACATTGAAAACAACCATGGGGAAAGGGGGTGGGAAGGGATAAATTGGGAGTTCAGGATTTTCAGATTCTAACTACTGTATATAAAATAGATAAACAACAAATTCATACTGTATAGCACAGGGAACTATATTCAATATCTTATAGTAACTTATAGTGAAAAAGAATATGAAAACGAATAAATGTATGTTCATGTATGGCTGAAGCATTGTGCTGTGCACCAGAAATTGACACAACATTGAAAACTGACTATACTTCAGTAAATATATATATATATATATGCAAAAAAACCCAAAAACAGAGCCAGCCTAAATTATTCTTGGCCTTTAAACAGACAGCAGAAATGACAGACAGTAACCAGTTAACAGAAAAAATGATGTTTTTGTTTTTGAACGCATATGCTTTTTCTTTTGAACATCCTGTATGTATGTACCTGATTGTCCTTCTTCGTTTGTGTGTTGTTTTTCGTGTGGTCTGTCGACAGTTATTTAACATGCTGAAGAGCGCTGAAGTGAGCCAACACAGCAGCTAACGCAGCAAAGAAGAACAGATCCAGATTTGAGAAACTGAACTAGCTAAACAACCTTGACCTGAAGTCCTAGAGGCTGGGCCGTCCGAGTTTGTGCACATAGCCTCTCCCCTCGGCTTGCGGTGGGCAGTGGTAGGAGAACCCTGACTGTGGAATGCCAGCTGCTTGAGCTCATTGGACACGATGGAAGAGGAACTGGGATGTCCAAACTCCTCCCCCGAAAAACGCTACTTTCCCGAATCCCTTGATTCCAGCGATGGGGATGAGGAGAGGATTTTGGCCTGTGAGGACCTGGAACTTAACCCTTTTGATGGATTGCCGTATTCATCACGTTATTATAAACTTCTGAAAGAAAGAGAAGACCTTCCAATATGGAAGGAAAAATACTCCTTTATGGAGTATCTGCTTCAAAATCAAATCGTGATTATTTCAGGAGATGCTAAATGTGGCAAGAGCTCTCAGGTGAGTAGCCTCTAAAAAAAAAAAATGCCTTATGTATTGTACTTTTTTAACTTAAATAATTACCGTGTCACAGCACAGTGGTCTGTTTTAGTAGTGATATTATCTAAACCAGAAAACAACAAAAAAGAGCCTTAGAAATTCAGGCACAACGGTTAAATTACTTGCCTGATTTTATTTATTAAAGCCAGCTGAATAAAAGTGAATAACATTTATGTGGCTATTAATTGTGTTTATTGTACTACTGAATTTTCCTTAGAAAAGCAGGAAAAAAACTATTCAGATTATTTTCTTGTGCAGATTATATTTTAAAAGATGTGATAGATGTTATCTGCCCACCATAAATTTTGGGATTAACGGCCATGTTTACACGCCCAGCAGTCTGATAGTCAAGATGAGTGGACGTGTTTATTGGTGAAGCTGGTTAAGTTACAGAAATTCAAAAGCACAAGGAAATTGTTTTCCAGACTGTAAGAAATAACTGAGTGGCCAAATATGATACAGGCCCAGAGCCACCCCCTCCAGGATCGAAAAAGGAAGAAAGAATTAATGTAAATAGTTAATATTTACTGTCCACTTGATTGTTGTTATATTTGTACTTCAAGTTTGATTTTAGTGAGATCTCTATTTTACTCTTAAATTTTAAATGTTTCTCATATTAAATTAATTTATAGATTCTTATGATACAGAAATTAGAGCAGACCACAGAGATAACCTGATAGAGCCCTTTCATTTTTCAGATGATGAAACTCTGGCCCAGAGGGATTTGATAATTTGTTTACTAATGTCTCATAACCATCTGAGCTGAAATTCTAAGAGCTCTTTCCAGTATACATTGCTGCTTCAAGTTTTTATTATCTCTGATGCTTGCTTGTTCTAAATATAACTTGAAAAGAGATGGGATGGAAAATAGGTGTTTTTTCCTATAATTTATAGCTGCCAATATCAAGGGTTTATTATGATTTTCTGTTTGTTATGATGCGTTGTTGCTACAGTGAATGGTTTCAGTTTGTCTTAAGAAGCTAATGATGAAAATTGAAGGAGTGTAGTTTTCCTGGTTTCTTGGGACAAATGGCAAGTTAAAAATTATTTCAAGTTTTTATTTTGCAATAATTTCAGACAACAAGAAGTTGCAAAAATAGTACAAAGATTTTCTGTATATAGTTCACCCAGATTCCCCAAATGTTAACATTTTACCAATTTGCTTTATGATTCTCTCTCTTGGTACACACACACACACACACACACGGAGTGTTTTTATATTCTGAACCTTTTATGGGTAAGTTGATGATATGATACCCTTTGCCTCCAAATACTTCAGCAATATCTGCTCCAGGGCTAGCCACAACAGAATCAGGAGTAGAATATTGACACCTCATTGTTATCTAATTTATAGACATTCAGTTTTCATCAGTTTTCCTGGTAAGGACCTTAGTAATAAAAAAATATCTGGTTCAGAATCCAGTCCAAAATCACACTGCGTTTCATTGTCAATTCTCTTTAATCACCTTTAATCTGAAGCAGCTTCCTAGTCTTTCCTTGTCCTTCATGACCATGAGAGTTTCCAACAAGTTAATTATTTTGTACAACATCCCTCAGTTCAAATGTCTGATGCTTCCTTTGGATTAGATTCCAAGTGTGTATTTCTGGCAGGAAGAGCACAGAAGTGCTGTGTGTCCACCTCAGGGCATCATGTCAGGAGACACAAGATTTTTCCCATGGCTGGTGATGTTAAATTTGATAATTGGGTAAGGTGGCGACTCTCTTGATCTTTATTGTAAAGTTGCTCTTCCCCCCCTTGGGGGAGATACCATATTGAAATATATGGGGAAACTGTGTAAAGTATGCTTCTCATCATGCATTCACCTGCTAATGTGAGCATCCTTTGATGATTCTTACCTTTGACATTACTGCATGGTGGTAACCAAATGGTAATTTTTCGGACATCCCTTCTACATGTAATATTTGGAATTCTTCTGTAGAACTGAGCTTTTTCTTCTTCATTATTTATTTATTCATTTACTTACGTCAGTGTGGACTCATAAATTCTCATTTTGTCCTGTGGATTATAATTCATTACTAAGCCCATTTGTTTTGTTGCTCAGAGTATCCCTAATGTGTCCTATAGGAACCCCTTCACTATGAATTCTGTATTCTTCCGACATCCTTCTTTGAGCATTTCTTTGCCTTCTGGCACAGCAAGGTATCACAGGCTCGTCTAGTATGTTCCCTGTTTCAGTCTTGGAAGCAGCCATTTTTCTCAAGGAGCCCTGGTTCCTTTTAGTGGAGATTGTATTTAAAAACCAGGAGCTGGGTACTGAGTGCCCACTGCCATTGACTACTGCTCTGCGGCGAGGAGATACACGCGTGTGGTGTGCACACCTCTCCCTCTCTAGCTCTGTAGCTGTTTCTCCTCCTGTGTCTCTAGTTCTTTCAGTCTCTCTCTTTCTCTGTTTTTCTGTCTCTATTTCTTTGCTTACGTTTCTCTCTCCTTGCGTATTTCTGTTTATCTCAATTTCTCTGTATTCTTAAAAACCCCGGACTGATACTGATGCCTCTGCTTCCACTCAGCTGCACAGCGTTCATACTAGCACTCCCCGCTTCCGTATTTGTAACTCCCTTCTCTACCTACGAGAAACTTAGCCCTCATTATTCATAATATCTTTACTTGTTCAATACTTAAAGCTTAACTTCAGAATTGCTAACCCACACTGCTGTCAAAAAGTTTTAATACATACTCCTTGAGTTTTCGTTTAGAATTTGTGATCTTTATGGGAAAGAATTATTGTCATATATCATGTGATATGTTATATTAATACCTAGCAGTGGTTTTCTCTTGCCATCTTTAGCTTCTTAATCTTTTAAATAATCATGCTTGTTTCTGTTAAGTATGAAGGCAGTATGTATCTTCAGGGTGGGAGGAATCAACACAGTACTCAGATGATGACCAAATGGTCCCGTTCTAAATTAATCCAAATAATGGGAACATCAGTTGTTTTCTTAATTCTTGAAATAGCTTGGTTATTTTTTAAAGAGCTTTTAAGACTTTTTTCTTTTCCCTCAGAGTTTTAAACCTTTCAAAGAAAAATGTGTCTTTAGACCCAAGCCTTCCAAAGAGGACCACAAGTTTTCTGCCAGATCCTAAAAATTCTCTCTCTTTGGTGCAGATGGCATGAAGGCCGTTTTGTGACTGCCCTCTGGAAAAGGGGACAACTTTTCATACATTTTCAGAGCATTTGCTTACTACCTTTTTTGGGGGCAGGGTTCTGAAAGAGCCTAAAAGAGCGTGAAATATTTTTAGAACCATCTATTTTACTTACTTGTCCTTCTCTAGCTTTTGTCCTGAAAGTTCCCGTGAAATGGATGGGTTAGTGAGGTGACTAAGCATGACCCACCTGAGAGCCTAAATTGAGAAGCTGTATAGAGCATCTCCGCCTTATCAGCTGAGCGCCGCACCCACCATCTTCTGCTGGTGGAGCCTGCCTGTGCTCACCCAGGCTGTGCACAAACACGGCATCTGGCATGTGTGGCGCTGAGCCCTCAGGAGTGTGTTCTGACGTCCTGGCTCCTGTCGGGCGGCCTTAGGGGCAGGCTCCGGCTTGGGTGCTTTACAGGAACATTGTTGTAGGGGTTCATGAATTGGTGGTCCTCAAGGTTCCTTTCAGCCTTTGGAGTCCATGATTCTGGAACTTAAGTAAAAGTGAGTGATTGAGACCTTGGCACAGCTGCACCCTCGGGTCCAGGAGAAGAATCAGGCCACCACGGACAGGCCAGTGATGGAAATGAGGGTTTGGGGGCCTTGGGGTCTAGAACGTGTTTAACTGGAGTTGCATTGTGTCTAGCAGATGGCTTTTCTTCTCACTTCCTGTATTCATACATGCATTAGAGGAGGGGGCAATCCAGCAGTGCATGGAGGGGCAGGAAGCTCTACCCCGGCGTGACTCACATGGATGTCCTCTTGCTGCAGCGGCAGTGGTGAGACTGTAGCTGCTGTCTTGGTCCTGACCTGAATCAGGCCCCCGAGGACCCGGGGCCCCAGCCTCCCAGAAACCAGCAGCCCTACCTCCGTGCCTGTTGCTTGGGGTTGGAGGTGGAGCGTCTTGGCTTCACTTTTCAGATCTATACAGCTTGTCGAACTCCAGTTACTAACTTCAGTTGCTGGAGCCTTGATACAGATTAGATTTTGGTTCCTCACGGGGCTCATCTTCCCTCCTCCCATAGCGGCAGGTTGGCCAGGGCTTGGTGATCGGCTTTCCGGGAGGAGAGGAGAGCCAAGAGCTGAGGATGCCCTTTGTCCTTGGGCCCCCTGACACCGCCCACGCCCTGAGCCAGGCCAGCTGGGCTTTGGAACCAAACGTAAGGTGGGCTTCACTGCTCAGGCTTTACCACATGTGGCACAACGTCCAGTCCAAAAAATTGCCTTTGAGAAAATGGATTGAGAGAATGTGAAAAAAATTGTTAGGTGACTTCAGAATGGAAATATTTGAAGTCATGGTTTCTAGTAGGAAAAGTTTCTAGACCAAATATATAAATTTGGGTGTTGTCTGTTGCCGAAACTCCCAAGCAGATCTGTTAAGTAGGTTTGTTTTTTTCATTTAAAAGAGCAGTTTTCTATTTTGTTCACCAAATTGCACAACTTTTCTAAATGCAGGAGCGGGAGGGAGAAATCATTCAAAGAGAAGCTAGAGAGAGAGAGAGACGAAATCTCTAACAGGCACGTGACTCATCGGTGAGAAGGGTAAGGTCCTGTTGGGACAAGGAAAAGCCACTCCCAGAGGAGAGTCAGAATCCAGGCATGGAATGGTACAGGACTTGTTCGAAGTGCGAAGGATGCAGGAGTGCCCTGCGAAGCTGTAATCTTAGTGTCCCTTGAAATTTGAAATATTCTCTTTTCAGCATTTGCTGAACCATAACTGTTCCACCCAATACTCTGAGTTTGCTAAGGCACCAGACAGCACAGTGTGTCTGAGCTTGCTTAGAGTGATTTGGAAGGTATGTTTTCATGTCTGTCTTTTTTGTTCAGAGACCACCTTTCAGTTTGCATTTGCACCACGGACTGTTGTTATCCGTGCGCACCTGCTCCCAAAAGGGCAGTGCGTGGTGCACAGTCAGAGCTGCGTCTGGGTCACAGCCCTCTGCAGTGAGCTGTGACTTGTGCTCCACTTTTAACTTGGCTGTGTCAGCAGACCTCCCTGCGTTAAGCACAATATGCATGTGTTCAGTCTTTCACTGTTTTTTTTAACTGATACTGAGAAGAGCTGTCCCATTTCTGAATTATTTTCTTTGCCTCATAGGTAAATAATTTGCTCGGTGGTAGATGAGGGCAAAAAAGGACAGTGAGGACTGATGGATTGTTAAACTTTTTGCACTGCCAGGCCTATCTGATGTTTATATCATTATAAACAGACTGTAATAATCTAATCTTGCAGAACTTGTTTGTATGAAGAGATAGAAATAAATGAAATACACTCAAAAAACAAAATCAGAAGCTTGGGAATGTGGCCCATAATCATCTGATTCATGTAGAATTCTAGAGTTTGAAAGCAGCTATTCTGGGTCTTAGAATAGTAACCAGGCTGAGCATATTCATGTGTTTTAGTAAAACTGGCTGGTGTAATTTCAGCAGGATCTCTGGCTACGTACACAGCGCCCACTCATCGTGGTACTGTCCCCTGACACTGCTGCTAGGCTAGAAAGAGTAGTGAAAAATGTTGTCTGCTGAGAACCACCTTCCACTACCATCTTTCTATGAAGATGCTTGGAAGTAACTGGCAGAGCGGAAATTACGCTGATGAGAAGTTGGAAGGTTTGGATTGGTTCTGGCTTTGCTGTTTACTGGCAGTGTGACTTGCGCGAGTCGCCCTTCTAAGACTTCCCTTGTGTGTAAAATGACGCTGTGGCTTACGTGCCTTCTGGAGATTCCTTTCAGCTCTGAAATTCTTTGTCCATCTCTAGCTTTGGCCCCTCGCTTAGGCTCCCGGCCTGTTTTTCAGGGGATCTCAGGAGAGCTGCACCTGGGTGTCCTCCCCTCCTCAACACTGTGTTAACCTTAACACTGACTGCTTTCCTGACTCCCGAAGGGCGTCTCCCTCCCCCCCCCGAATGCTCCACTCCCCACAAAGGCATTTTGTGCTACTGCACATAGCTTCTTCATTCATTCATGTTATTTTACTTTTAAATTTCTGGTGGTTGCTAATGAGACCATTGCCCTGGAATTTCAAGTTAGAAATGTTAGAATATTTGCTGCTGCTTATGCATAATTAGACTGGTAGTGAGCACTGCTCACTCTTTCTTAGCAAGAAGTGTCCCTCGGTTTTAGTACTTCTCTCCCACGTTAAGTACTGAGTCCAAGCATTTCTCTGTCTTCTTTTCAGTTATTCTGATGTCTTTATCCATCCATTCATCCACATACTTTTTATCCCTCTTATGTGTCAGGTCCTCTGTTAAGTATTGAGGAAAATGTGACCCACAAATGGCTGGCTTAAGGAGCTCAAAGTCTGGTGGGGAGACAAAGATTCAAACAACCGGTTTTATAATTTTTCACAAAATGATGTTTGAGGTCTCAGTTAGGGACCTAGATAGTGGACCCTGACATGAAGGGAATTAAGTGAAAAACATAAGGGGAATTAGGTTAAAAACTAAGGATTTGACAAGAATAGAAAATTACTTGCTAGGGAATGAGGGAGACAGAAACTGTTACATGCATTCCCAGTTTTGTGTGATGCTGAGGCAATTCAAGGTAGAACACAGAGAATCATAGAACTTGAAAATCTTTCTGGAAAGTATAAGAAATTAGTTTGTTCATTTAACAGATACTTACTGAGTAAACTGACTTGAGTTATTTGGTGACCACGTAAGTCTCTGTCCTCCCAGAGCCCATGGTCTGGGGGGTAGGTGAGCAGACCGCTGCTGACTGGAACAGACCGGCAGCTGCGGGACGTGTGAGCCCTGCCATGGTCGTGGGGAAGTACACTGTGGGGTCTGCTGCCTGGTGGGGGGCAGA